GCAGGAAGGCTGACCCTTGATGAAGGGTCTAGGCCCAAAACATCAGCCTTCCTGCTCCTCTGATGCTGCTTGGCCTGCTGTGCTCATCCAGCTGTACACCTTGTTAACCCTGCATTTGAACATGGACTGCTTCAGTCTCTGAGGAGTCACGAATAGTGCTGAACACTATGCAATCATTGGCAAATGACCCCAATTCCGACCTAATGATGGAGTGAAGGTCATTGACGAAGCAGCTGAAGATGGTTGGGCCCCTGGAAAGTGCCCAGAAGACCATCTGCAGCGATGTCCTGGAGCCTAAGATAACTAACCTCCAAACAACATTTCCTCTAACTTCCTTCCCGGCAGAAGGCCCGTACACAGCCGTAATTTCTGGAACCAGACACCAACGCCATGAACAGTGTGCTAACGTTGATTGCCATGTGTGGAACATTCAAGCAGCTGTTCAGACATGCATCCATGCAGCTTAGAGGGAACATGGCTTCCTACTATTACAAACATGTTCCTTCGTGTAAGATATATCTCCAACATTGTAAGTGTAATGTATTAAGTAAGATATAGAAGCATAGCAAGATTTACAGAACAGACAAGGTCATTTGGCCCATTGTGTCCATTTTGGCCCGAGAAAGTCTACTCAGTCAAACTTCACCTTCAAAGACTTAGTCCAAAGCTTTGTAGGTTACAATACCTCTAGTACCTGTCTGATCATTAAATGTGATGAGAGTGTTTGCCTCTATAATGCTTTCAGACAGTGGGTTCTGGATATTCTACCACACTCTGGTTGGAAACATTCTTTCTCAGCTCCAGTCTAATTCTTTCACCAATTATTCTGAATCTAAGCCTCTGACTTGCAGATGACACAAAGATAGCAGGAAAGTATGTTGTGAAGAGGCCAAAGGGAATTTGCAAATAAGTTGAGTAAATATGAAAGAAAAACCTGGCAGATGTTGCATTCCGTGGGAACATGTGAAGTAGTTGACTTTGACAGGAAGAGTGGAAAAGCAAACAGAGAAGGACTGCAGAATTCTAAGGTGCAAAGGGATCTAGGTGTTCTAATGCGTCAATCACAAAAATGCCAATATACAGGTACAGCAAATAATCGAGAAGGCTAACGGGATGCTATCCTATATTGTAAGAGGAACTGAACATAAAATTAAAGATGAAATGAAAACAGAAATTGCTGGAGAAACTTCGCTGGTCTGGCAACATTTGTGGGCAGAAAACAGAGTTAACATTTCAAGCCCAGTGACCCTTCTTCAGGTCATCACACACTCTTCTAAACTCCACCGGAAACAAAGCCACCCTGTCCAACCTCACTCATTCCAGGTTCTAATCTGGTTAATGTCCTCTGAAACACCTTTAACTCATTTACCTCCTTTCATAAATAAGCAGATCAAAACTGCACACAGTATTCAAGATGTGGTCTCGACAATGCCCTGTATAATTGAAGTAAAACATCTTTACTTTTATAAAAATAAAGAACTGCAGATGCTGGAAATCTGAAACAAAAACTCAAATTGCTGATGAAACTCCACAGGTTTGGCAGCATCTGTGGTGAGAAGACAAAGTTAGCATTTCGAGTCCAGTGACGCTTCTTTTTATATAGAGTATTGGTGAGACATTTTGAATACTGTGTGCCGCATTGATCTCCTTATTCGTCAAAGGATGTGAATGAATTGGAGGTGTTTTGGAAGATGTTTCCCAGATTGGTACCTGGAATGAACGCGTTGTCTTGTTTCCACTGGCGTTTAGAAGAGAGTGTAATAACTTGATGGAAGTTATAAGATCCAGAAGGGTCTTGACAAGATGCATATGGAAAATACATTGCTTCTTGTGGTTGAATCCAGATCTAGAGGACATTGTTTTAAAATTAGGGCTTTCCTTTTTACGACTAAGGTGAAGTTTTTTTTCTTTCAGGGGATTGTGTGATTTTGGAACTCTGCCTCAGAAGGTGATGGAAATGAGGTGTTTTTTTTAAGGTAAAGGTAGATAGATTCTTGCTAAGGGAGTGAAAAGTTGTCCAGGATAGACAGGAATACAGATTTAATGTTATAATCAAATCAGCCATGATGAAGGGTCTGTTTCCATGCTGTACAACTCTATGACTATGACTCTATGATCTTATTGAATGGTAGAGCAGGCTTGAGGGGCTGAATGGTCTAATTCCGCTCCTGTTTCATATACTCATATGATTATTGATGCCTCTGCTAAAGAATGAGAGTTTTCCTGTCCACTCCGTTTCATTAATGCACCTCAAGTAAATCTCTCATCAGTCTTCTCTGCTGCAAAGAAAACAACCCTGAGTGTCCACTGTTTTCTCAGATCAAATGATCAATTCCTGCTAACACCATCACAAATTTCTCACATGCCTTTATAATGCAATCACATCCTTCTCATAATGCAGTAGACACAATCCACTAGCTGTAGTCTAACAAGTGATTTATACAATTCTAGCCTCAGAAGAGTATAACCTGCTTGTTTTCATAGTACAAGAACAGAAGTTGCTGGAAAAGCTCGGCAGGTCTGGCAGCACCTGTGAAGAGAAAATCAGAGTTAACGTTTTGGGTCCAGTGACCATTCCTCAGAACACTTCCTCAGTATCCTCTTTGTCTTCTTGTTCCCATTATCTACCTTCAATTGTACCCTTAGAACTCAGTAGACATCATTTCCTAGGTCTCTATTCCTCTACACATTTTAGAGTTCTGCAATTTATTCTGTATTTCCTTGTCTTGTTTGTCCTTCCTTCATACTTCTCTGGGTTGAATCCCATTTGCACTTTTCTTCCAACTTGTCCAGCCCATTGATAACTTTCTCCATTCTACAACCATTTTCCTCACTGATACGACTAAATTTCTTTTTGTGTTGTTTGCAAGCGTCTTACTCATGACCCCATTTAAGTCTAAATCATTGATGGATATCACAGACAGCAAGCAAACCCTCCAGAATCCCACTGGAAACGGCAAACTTCTAGTCATTAAAAAAAAACCTGTCAACCATTGTCTTTTTGCTGCCTGTCACTGAGCCAAATTTATAACCTATTAGCTACGTTCCTTTGGACTCCGCGGACTTCTCATTTGGTGAAGGGTCTACCATGTGAAACCTTATCAAAAGCCTTGCCGTAGACAATATCAAACTGATTTGTTTTTTCCTAAACTGAAAGTGAAATACAATCTTCCCGTAACTGATTTAAACTGCCAGAATAATTTGTGACTAGTCTAAACCACAAAAGAACTGTTTACCCTTCACTGATGCCTAAAGCTGTAGAGAAGTGAATGACTAATTGCAGCACTTTACTAAGGGTACAGGAATTTAAATGCAAATCCGCACTTGTACAATTTAAGTCTTCCTCGCTGACTAAGAAAGAGCACGCATTCTATGTCTTGTTTACATTTCGTCTGCATTATGAATGGGATGAATCAATGTATTTTTTAAGAGAGATAGGGTTAGGGAGAAAAAAGGCAGGAAGTTTCCCCGGGCGGTTTTTGGGAGTTGAAAGGAATGATTCGAAGAGTTTAGCTCAGAGGGATCGATCAGGAGTGCTCCGGGGACCGCTTGACGTCAAGTCTGCGGGAAATAGGCGTTCCCAGAGTGGGTGGAAACAGAGAAATGCAGCTCCCTCCACCAGCTTACTTCCCCTCAATCCCTGGGTAGGAAGGTCGCACAGTAACTCCTGATTCGCTTCTGCAACTTTCCAAGCTCTGCCCTCCCTCTCAAATAAAACTACCAGTGGATAGAAGCTGCAGTGTGCAGCTAGCAAGTGGCAAAGAACACATCATGTACATTGAGAGTCCCAGGGCTTAACTTTGTTTTGAGAAACCGGCCAAGATTTAACAGCCAGAAGGAGGTGCGGGTTTGCAAAAAACGCACAAGTGACCGATCCAACGTTTGAAAAGGGGATGGATCTCCACACGGGGATGCAGAAGGTAAGTCTGAATTCATCTCTTAGCAGCAGTGAGTGGGGCTTGCACAGGTCACCGACAGAAGTGACCTGGAATAACGTGTGCCCTTGTAAGTAAAGTGGGGAACATGCAGCGATTTGCGGGCAACAGGTTTCTTTAAATGGGTCTTGTACATCGAGGTTCATCGAAGAAGGATTGTACAATGAATGTGCTGGTTGTGGGAAAAAAAATGCAACTCCGTTCTTGCTTAGAGTTTGAGTTGGTTCTGCCTTTAATGTTAATGACTGGGAGCAGTTTATTGTTCTTTGTAGGCGTCCCCCACTTTCCCACACTCTCAGTGTCCCAGCGATGGGCACAGTTCAAAGCTGCTTATCCTGCTTGGAGGGCGATACTCCCAATCCGGTCATTCGAGAGAAACTTTGGAGTCAAGTAACAGCCCCATCCCCACCTTGAGGTGTGGCGCTCAGTTGAAAAAGTGGAAGTGAATCTAGCGCCAAAGCAGAAGAGAAATGGTCTCGCTGTGTGCTGGAGACAGGTTTCCGAAGTGAAGTGGTGACAGCGGCGGCACGACCTTGGCTTTTCCAAGTTTATGGCCAAAAAGGCGCCGTATTCCTCCCAAACAGCGTACAGAACAAAAGGTCTGCTTTGCACCGCAGGCGTAGGTCTGAATCTCTTTGAACCAACCTCACTGGCTCTAACAATCGGTTAAACTAGTGGCAAACAAGCTGTTCTCCTCCAAAGCCGCTGTCAAACTGTGATGCTTTACTCTGTCTCTGGGAGGTGTACCCTGTTTGGGGGGGTTGGGGGGTGGTGGGGATGGTAGTCTAATACAGTTGGGAAGAGCCCCCAAGGTGACCCCCCAACTTTGGTATATTGCAAGAGAGACAAGTCAGAGCCTCAGGCAGTCGTTTTAAGTGACTCCCGCCCCAAATCCAACCCAGTTTCTCAGGAGTAACATTCCCCAAAGTTATAGTCGGAGATATGCACCTTCTTTTAAAAAAAAACTGTTGACGCTCTGAAAAAAAGTGTTTGTTTCGTTTCATTTGTTTTAGAGGGCAATCAAATGGTCGGTTTGTCTAAATTGACGACCACCTCTACTTACGCCTGATAGGTTTTGTGTTCAGACGAGTTCTTAGGTGATAGAATCCAGGTTGACAGACCTACAGCGCCGAGGGAGTGTGGCAATGCCCCAGACGATATTTTAATTCGAAGCCTTGTCTCTCCCTGTAGTTCAAATGGAGATTGAAGCATTATTTCTAATGAGTAGCCAGTTCTACCACGTCTATATCATGTGGCCAGAAGCACCCCAAGATATGGATTAATCATATATTAAACTAATTTGCTATTTACTGGATCTTGTCTGCTACTATGTCCATCTACCCAACAGCAGTTGCATTTTGACATAATTCATTGTATTTTCTGAAGAACTGAACATCTTTTGTAGTATTGGAAAGACATAAAAATTAATAAATTGCTAAATTAGAAGGTGCAACTGACAGAATCGCTGTTTCTAGAAATATTTTTTCGTAACTTTTACCCAATCGATAAATGAAGATTTGCCCCAGGTACTGGAATTTTGCTTGAATTAAATTTATTCTGTGTTCATGAGCAAATTTGCAGACCGACTTGTTTACTCTGATGGATCCCTGGTAAATGCTTAAAGAAGCTGCAACATCATTAACAAGTTCCTCATTGTCAGCCCCGTAGGGTTGAAGATGACTTGCTTCCATAGTGCTAGGAGTTCGTGTCTAAGTACCTGCCTGTTGGCAGGATGACTCAATTCCCATTTGCTATTTTCAAGCTATAAGAGACTCGTGCTCAAATATCTGAAGCTGAAACGTGGTGTGTGGGAAAGTAAATGTATAGCCAGCAAGGGACCTTCTAAGTGGAAGTGCTGTAGTCATTACGCTATCGCAATGCCTGCAGCAGTCACATGGGATTGATTAGTTTTTAGCAAGTCATAGGCTGATTTTGCTGTGGCAAGGCATCTAGCAGCATCTGCTGTTAGTTAGATTTGCCTTTGTACATTTTAACTTTAGAAAGTATTGTATGGCCTTTTACTGGAAGTGCTAGCTGATAACAGCTCAGGGAGGGAAACAGGTCTATCGGGGGAATGGGGCAACCAACAGTGTATCTCCTCAATCAGGCAGACTCAGAACTTGTGAACTTCATAAAGGAAGGAATGAGTTGCATGAATTCAAGATCAATTAAGGAATGGGATGAGAAACTGTGAAAGAAATACAGATTAGATTGGGAAAGGAAAAAGACAGAAAGGAAAAGTTAAAAGATATCTGGAAATATCAAATGTGATAGTTTATAAAATCTCAAATGTTAATTTTTAAAATTTGCAAATCATTTGAATATGCACTTGAAGTGACATAAACCTGTCAAGGGGAGATGATGTCTGAAAAGTTTGGTTGAATTTTTCAAGAAGGTGACTAGACATATGGACAAGGGTAGTGCAGTGGATATAATCTACATGGAGTTCAATAAAACTTTGACAAGGTCTTGTATGGGTGTCTGGTTGGGAAGGTAATAGCCCATGGGATCCAGGGCAATTTGGCAAATTGGATCCAAAATTGTGGTAGGAGGCAGAGGATGATGGTTGATTTTGTGTCTGGAACCCTGTGACCATTTGTGCACTGCAGAGTTTGGTGCCGGATCCTCTGCTGTTTGAAGTGTGCATGATAGACATGAATGTAAAGGTTTGATCAGTAAGTTTGCAGATGACAGGACAGCATCAAAGCTCTGAAGTGAAAATAGATGAGTGACTAAAGTTCAAAATCTAAAGATTGTAAGAACTATCAAGATCTTGATCAAAAATTAGTTAGAGACAAGGCTGTGCAATAAGTCCTGATTTTACCACTAAGAGAGAAGAGGAAGACCACACAAAGAGATGGTTTCAAAGCTTAGGACTCCAGACAGGATGGTTTATAGAAACACTGACCATACTAATATCAATAAAATAGGTTATGACAGTTGAGTGAAAACCAGATTGGAGCTTGGAGCTTAACAGATGATGACTGTCTTTTCCTTGCCCTCTATACTGGAGAATGAGAGAGAGGGTGTAATGGAAAGGCCAACACTGACCTGGCAACAATGTTTCAGTTGTGAGTAAAGATGGTGAAGAACTCTTGGCATGAAGTTTCCCTCCCAGACCTCCTGCTTGTGAGCAGGCTCCTAGTTGTCAGTGTACACAGCAGTGAAAGTGGATGTGCGAGGAATGCATGTTGGTGGTGAATGCTGGAATGACATAGCATTCATTCTGCATGCCTTTCGAGCGCCATGGCTCACAGTGTAACTGAGGCTGAAAACACAATTGAAGTTCAAGCCATACTAGAACCTTCTCTCTGCACCTGTTGTGGAGATCCTCCATTGAATTGACATTATTACTTTGATATTTAAAGTGTTAGGACCCAGGAGAGACGTGTGTTCTACACCAGCATTTGGTTGCATAGTTTGAGCTATTATTATCAAAGCACCCTTTTGTCACTTTGTAGTGATAAATGAGTGATGCTAGTCATTGGTAAATGTTGCTGAATTCATATCAGTCCACTCATAACAAAGCACTGAAATCACAAATTAACTACAACTGTATTGGTCTGTTATTGCATTAATAACTTATGAATAAAACAACCCATTTGTCTGTTTGCAGTTGATTTTTTTCTTTGTATTTTATGGCATTTATGTGACAGTATTGATTATCTTGGTTTAATTATTATTGGTGCATGAGATAAACCTTGCACCCAGAGATTATAATAACTCTGAATGTCGCCTGTTAGGAGTCGAGGTAACTGTTATGAGCATGCTGAATTTTACTCTTTCTCTGCTCACTGGGGCAATTAATGATGTAGAACTTCCTATTTTGATACACTGGCACCATTGAATTTCAGTCTGAAGGTGGAGAAAAGAAAAAGTGTTAGGGAGGGAGGGGACTGAGCTGGTGTTTTACACCACTGTCTGCAGCAACCACCCAGCAAGGCTTAACTGCTGGTGCAGTTTGAGATTTAAGCACGCAGCAGAACAGAAGATGTGTGCCAGTACACACTGGACTTGGAGTTGATCATCTGTCTATGTGCAACTTAAACATTTTTTCCTGATCTTCAGAAATTTACCAGCATTCATCCATTTTGCTGGTGGGTTGGCCACAGGCAAGCATCTTCAGAATCATTCAGCTTTTCCTTCTCAAAGACTTGTTGTTTTCGAGGGCCAGAGATGCTCAGAAAAGTGAGGGATCTTGCCGTGGTTATTTTGAACTGATAAGTGTAAATCGAGGTCGATATTTCAAGATGAAAAGAAAAGTGAGGTTTACCAAGAAGATGTCATTGACAATCTCAAGGTTAAGGGATCGTAGTAGGAAAGGTAGACTGGGGAAAATAAAGAACTCCACAGCTTTGAGGTACAGAGACAAATGAATTAAGAAAGAGGTAGTGAGAGAAGTAATGATTTGAATGTGGTGAAGCAGGAGTATTGGGGCATAGCACATTTGCAGCAAGTTAAGAGGCCATCATAGGAGTGATTGGAGACTTGGGATGAATCAAGTGTATAATGTGGGGAAGTGTGAGGTTATGCATTTTGGCAAGATGAATAGACAAGCTGAATATAATTTAAATGGGAAAAGACTGCAGAAAGCTGTGGAAAAGAGGGATTTTGGAGTCTTTGTCCCTGAGTCACAGAAAGCTGGTATCCAAGTTCAGTGGACAAGAGGAAATGGAAATGGAATTTTGATTGTTATTTCATAGGGAATGGAGTATAACAGCAGAGAAGTTCTGCTAAAACTATATAAAGCACTAGTCATTCCATAGCTGGAATACAGTGAACAGTTTTATTCCCCTTGTCTAGGGAAAGGTATATTGACATTGGAGGCGGTCTAGAGAAGGTTCACTCGGCTGATACCAATTATGGAAGGCTGTTCTTATGAGGGGAGGTTGAGTAGAAGAGCTTGTGCTCATTGGAATAAAGAATGAGACACAACCTTAATGAAACGGGAAAAAGTATATCCCTTCCTCCTCCTCCACCCCCGCCCCCCACCCCGGCTTGTGGGAAAGTACAGGACCAGGAAGCATAAACTCAGACTAAAGGGTTGCACAATTAAGACAGGGATGAAGAGGAATTTCTGCTGAGTAGTCAATCCATGGAATTCTTTACCACAGAGGACTATTGTGACTGGGTTATTGAGTATATTCAAGGCTAAGATAAACAGTTTTTTTTAATCAGAAAGAGAATCAAGGGTTGTGGGGAAAAGGCAGGAAGGTGGAGTTGAGGACTATCAGATCAGCCGTGATCTCTTTTAATGGTAGAGCAGACTTGATGAATCGAATGGTTTAGTCATGTTCCTAAGTCTTATGGGTTCCCTATGAGAATATGCAGTTTTGCTTAGATCCTTACTGCATGAGGAAATGGGAGCAGTTCTCAAATATTGAGTAGAATCGGACCTTAAAGCAAACTGATTTGTTGTTGAAGGAGAAATGAATAGTTTAATTAGAGTACTACAAATGGAAGAGAGTTTGGAGTTCCCATTGATATTGGAGTAGGAGCCAATGATGAGAATGTAGCGATTAAAGGGGAAAAAGGTGGAGATCACAACTTTTCCGTTATGAGCTGCTGTTGGACATGCAGGGATGTGAAGAAACTCTCTACTTGAGAGGAAATAAAAGAAATGTCTTTAATTCAACTATAATAAATGAGTGCAAAGATATGAAAAGTTGCACTGCAAAAGGAATGTGATTTAGGGCACATAATCTGTTAAGCCATTGATGAGAGTGGAATTGAATCTTCAGCAAAAGGTCAAAACAGTTTGATGGTATTTGAAAGATCATCAGTATGAGAAAAGAGCTTGGAAGAAATAGCTGAATTCCAAGAGAAAGGGAAACATTGACAATGGCATTCCCTGTGGGATGGCTAGAACTGTATCAAAGTATTTAATTTTGTGTTCGTAGTGTGAGATGTCAGTTTGGAACATGGATCAAGCATTCTATACAACAATGCAAATTAACCCAGTCATCAAATAACATGTCCTGCTGGACCAACTGCCCTCTTGGTCTCTCTGAGTGACTTTGCCAATTTATATCCAAACTGATTGCTATGCATCCCATTCTTGCTAGTGGTCAGTCTTTGACTCTTGACATTTTTAATAAATAGTGACTAACTTGAACAAACATATAGGAACACAGTTGTAGCTTGTAATGCAAAAACAGTTCATGTAGATCAGTGGAAAAACCATAATTAAGGGATCAAGGAAGAAAAGTCAGTTATAATAAACAATTTTTGAAAGAGATCCAAAGTTATACAGGATAAAATTATGAGATGATAACTCCATGCTGTGATAAAATTTATACTGCAAAGCGTCATTAAAGTACTGGTTACACTGTCAGAGACTAGAGCTAAATCAAAGGGGATTATATTGTTCCTGTTAGGGATTGGTCAGAGTCCATCTGGAGTAAACTGTGCAGTTTGATCACCTAATTGTAGGGGTAATGTTATTACCCTCAAGATGGTATTGAGGCAGGAAACAAATCTCTGGTGCCAGGTATTTCAGTGATGTGGAAGAGTTGAAAATATTGAACTGTGATTCAGAAAAGGAAAGATTTTAGTGTAATTTAATCAAAGTTTACTAGATCATAAAGAAGAGAACTGTTGATCCAGTTTCCCTTTTCTTCATTGTGGTTTCCAGCAGAGCAAAACTAATGGCTCTATTAATACAACCGCTGTGTGATATATCAAACAGCAAACTAGTACCATAAGAGAATGCTGCCAGCATAAGGTGTTTGAGTTTGTACTAGAAATGACCCAAATATTTCCAATAATTAAATTATGAAGTTGGCTTTGGCTTGAGTAACTTACTGTTGGAACTTGCAGTCGTTAGTGTTAAGTTATGCTTACAGTCATTGTACAGCTATGCATACAACCTAAGTTAGAAACCATAATTTTGACATCTTACTGAAGGTGCTCTTATAGCAGAGTCCTCTGACACTCTACATCTACAAACAATTGAGAACCTAATGAGATGAAAGTTGTTTTGTGTCTGGGAGTAAGCTTCTTAAGTATCAGATACATTAAATATTTTTATACTTTATAAGATTTATCTATTGGCAAGTACAATGAAAGAATTAATAGAAGCTAAAAAAAGCTGGAAATTTGAAACAGCAATGGAAAATGCTGGAGCTCGTCAATCAGCTCCTATGGCGAGATCAGACAAGTTCATTCTTCAGGTGTGGGACTTTCAGAACTGAAAAATAAGAAAGCAGAAAGAAATATTAACCCAATTAGAGGAGAGAGTGAAAATAATGTTTAAAAACTAAGGAGACACACAGTCTCTTATGGTCTCATCTAATATGCCTCCTCCTGTCTCTGATTTTTACATTTAGGAGCCTGACAGTCTTTTGTTTAGAAGAAGAGTACAAACTGAAACTGTAACTCTTCTGTTCTTTCCACAGATGCTGACAGTCTTGCTGCTTCCCACTCCACATCCTGGTAAAGCTGTGTGGAGGGTATACAAAGTCCCCATCCAGCGGTTGCCCCTGTAAATTTGAGCTCTTCCAAAATTCTTCTGCCAATATACCAGTTTGCAACAAGTTCTGGCCACGCTATTAGCCTTGTGCTTCCTGATTGAAATGAGTTTCCATCCTGACAATCCCTAGATTTTACAGCCCATGTCCTTGCAATAAAACCCCTCGGTTTACTTTATCTGCCCTACAACCTTCCAAGATCTCTGTGTTCCTCCAATTTTAGTTTCTTGTGAAATCCCTGATTGCATCCATTACATTATTAGTAACTGTGGCTTCAAATGACTGTGGCTTTTGATCATCTGACCTTCAACTGTGTCTTGGTTGAAAACTCGCTAATGAAACGTCTTGTGTTGTACCACATTAAAGGTGCTACATAAATGCATGCATTGATGATAGGTTACTAGCTTGAAACATTGGGTGAAATTTAACCTAGCTGATAGGAGTGGCCCACCAGCTGGAGAGTTGGCAAAAGCCCTGCATCATCTCCTTTAGGGATATTTTGCAGTTTTAAGGACCAATTAAAAGCCAATGCCAGGCATTTGCTGGAATGAAGCCATCCAGGAACTGCTGTCCAATCAGATGTCGGAAGCTGTTCATTGTAGGTGAGGCATGCATTTGGCAATGCACCCATTGAAGTAAGATCAGCAGAGACTCAGGCCACAGGTGATAACGGAATCGGAGTCATGGGAGGAATTTCAGCAGCGATGCAGGGGTTGACCTTCAGTGTCCCCAGCCTTTGCAGATGCCACCCTTCCAGATGCCAGATCTCCAAATCAGGCACTAAATGTCTGTCAATGGGATAGCCAGCCAATGAGATTGCCCACAAGCAAAACCAAGAGATGTTTGACTATCAAGCTTCCCATGTAGTGAGTCCCCAGTCTGCTGCTGGCTAATCACTAGAGTGGTGAGAGGAGACCCTCAATTGGGCATGAATTGCCCGCTTAAGGGTTTCAATTAACATTGAGGCAGGAAATGCACAATGACTGTCTTGGGCCTAGTTGGGGAGAGACAGAATTGTGAAATTAAAAGCTACCTCTCCCCCCTCAACCCACCAAATACATCTCGGTGGGGAGGGCATTAAATTTCACCTATTAATTCTGTTAACCCTTCATGGATGCTGCCAGAACTGATGAACATTTCTTATGTTTTTATTCAAGAGCCTGAAGGAATTGCAATATGTTGAGACTGTGTAAAGCATTGTTTGGCTGTGAAGGTGGTAGTGTTCAGGAGATGAAACTTTTCAGCAAATTGGTGGTAGGACATCAGAATTAGGAGCAGGAGTAGCCCATTGAGCCCCTTAACCCTGCTCCGCTATTCAACAAGATCTCAGTGTGCCACTGCTCATCCACTGACTTTCCCTCAGTCTATTTTCCCAGCCCTCTCTAATAAATCTTTCTTCGTGCCTCTGTAATTGCACTTACTTAAGTTATTTAAGTTGAGAATATTGGTATGAGACCTCAGCTGCTTACCCTCAAAATGAATTTGAAATTCTGTGATGATGTGATCCGTACCTCCTATAAGATTCTAAACTATGATATCGTTTACTAATCCTACTTTGTTTACACTTGATTAAATCTTATATAACCTATTCCTGAGTAGATTGTGTAATGTACTGCTGTAAGAAACAATCTTTGATGCACTCTATAAATTCATATTTTGTGTTATTCTTTCCATCCGATTTGTCCAATCACTAGGCAGATTTAAACCACCCATGACCAACTGTAGTCGACTTCTTACATGCTTCCGTTATCTTGCAATTTATACTTTGGCCTACAGTGTGGCAAGTCTTTGCCAGCCTATAGATAACTCCCATTTGCAACTTTGTTGCCTTGCTGTTCCATATTTCCACCTAAACTGATTCCACACCATTGCAGTTCTGACATGACTTCACCACTGCACTGATACTAACCTGTACGAACAAAGCTAAGCCACCTCCTTTTGCTTTTTGCTTTGTCTTCCAGAATATTGAATATCCTGGAAGAATGAGTTCCTAGTTTTTGTCACCCTGCAACCATATCTATGTAATGGCTACCAAGTCCTATTGATTTACTATTATTTGTGCCATCAACCCTACCTCATTACAAATGCTACATGCATTCAGATAAAGAGCATTAAGCTTTGACATTTTTTCACCATTATTGCTTATTCTGATTTGAATTTTTGCTGTACTATTCCATGTACATTTCTGTCCTATTCTGTTACTCTTTGATTATTGATCATCTCTTCACCTCTGCTGTCTTATTTCTTTTTACTTTTTTGATACTTCCCTTCAATTGAGCCCTCTCCCCACTAATCAGTCCAAAGCTGTATCAACAACCCTAATTATCCAATTTACCAGGACATTGATCCCAGCATGGCTCAAATGAAGCCCAGTGGAATAGCTCTGTCTTTCCCTAATGCTGATACCAGTGCCCCGTGAATCGGAATCTGTTTCTTCCACACCAATCCTTGAGCCATGTATTTACCTCTATAACCCATTTACATTATGCTAGCTTGCTCATGGCTCACATAGTAATCTGCAAATTATTATCTTTGTTGTTCTGCTTTTTAATTTAGCCCCAAGCTGCTTAAAACCTTTCATTAGAACTCTTTTCCCTAGTCCCACCTATGTTGTTGTATGTATGTGGTCCACAACAACTGGATCCTTCTCACAGTCCAAGTTCCTCTACAACCTGAAAAAAATATCTTAAACCTTGGCAACAGCTAATCAACACAGTTGTTAAGACCGTCTATCTTTGCTGCTGAGAACAGTATTTATCCCCCTAACTATTCTCTCTCCAGTTCTGACTACATTTTGTTTTTTTCTCATCCCAGTTGAACAATACCCCGGACTGTGTTGCCGTGGACAGGTCACTCATCCTCCCTGTGGTCTGTATTCCTGTCCATATGGGGAACAAGAACCTCATACCTATCGGAGAAGGACATTTTCTGAGGCTCAACCAAATCTAAATTCTGGATCCCTGTAGCTGCCTCACTCGCAGTCGCATCCCCCTGACTTGAAAAAAATTTGATGTAATTAATGTAAGCGTCATCGCGACTGCCTCCTGAAAGATTGCCCAGGTATCTCTCTCCCTCCCTGTTGCAACACAGTATCTGCATCTCAGACTCCAGACTGTGAGCTCTGAGCTGAATTTCTTCAAGCAGCCATCTGCTTCAGATTTGGTGTCCACCAGCTCCTACATACTACAGCTGCAATGCATCCCCTCTGCAGCCATCTCCATTCTATTTAATTAGTCAACTTAAGTGTCAAATATTTTACAAGTGTCTTTAAACTGTACTGTGCAATAACATCTTTTGATTTAAATCACTTGACCAATCGAAAGAGACATAGAAGATATACCCATCAATCATGTATCTGTTACCCTGTGATGTTGTATTTCAGCTCTGAAATGCATAAATAGATTGAAAGGACTCTCAGCTACTGGTTTTTATTTCCCATCACTGCTGCCCTTGTCACATAGGTCTGCTGTTTATGAAGCTGCTGATCCCAGCCTCTCTCCAGCTGTACATGAAGCTACTCTTCCCGTCCCTTTTCAAGCTCTTTGTAATGCTATGTTCTTGCTTACTCTTGTGCTGCTTCAGAAGCACACAGTTCTCCTCTCTCTCATCTTATTAGGTGGTGTGACTCTCTCTGGGTCATCCTCTCTCTCTCTCTCTCTCCTAATGACTGCTCAACTTCCCTTCAGAGCGTCAGGGAATGGAGCATTACTTTGCATTGGATTGTCATAGTTTAACCGGATTGAATGACTTGAATGCAAAACAATGCCCAGACAGGCACTTGAATCCTGGACCCTTAGGTTAAAATTCTAAAGGTTCACCAACTGAGTGACTGATTGAGTTAGCCCAGTTTTTTGATGCCTTTCTTATTGTAGACTCTGAAAGACAGGAGCATTTCCAGAGGTTGTTCGTTTCTACCAGATGAAGGTGTAAAAGGTCAATGGATCCAGAGATTTCTTTTACAGGGTGCAGATTTGTGGTCTGGAGATTTGGTTTCCATTGCCTCTTTTGGGTTTGTTTTTTAGAGGCTGATGCTGAGATCTGAGTAGACCAATAATATTGTTCTTTAGGAGGCTTTTCAGAGTTGGGGGTTATTAAAGGAAACTGCAACATGCAATACTCTCCTGATTGCTAAAACTCCTTTATCTCGACAAGGCTAAAGTTCTGTTTTAAACATGTCCAGTGACTGACTACCAGAACTTGTTAAACATTATGTTATGATGAGAGTACTGTGGGGTTTTGGAGACTTCCAGGATTGTGTTAAGTGCATTATTTTTAACGCCAAAGTTAATGGTACAGTAGAAGGAGTAGAAAGATGCCTACAGTGCAGAAAGAGTCCATTCGGTCCATCAAGACTGCATCAATTCTCTGAAGAGCATTCCATCCAACCTCAGCCCCCTACCCTTAAAACAACAACCCTACTTTTACCAGGGATAATCCACTTAGCCTGCCACTCCATGGACACTGTGGACAATTTAGCATGGCCAACCCACCTAACCTGCACATCTTTGGAGTGTGGGAGGAAACTGGAGCACATGGAACAAACCCATGGAGACACAGGGAGAACGTACAAACTAGAGTCAGTCACCCGAGGCTGGAATTGAACCTGGCTCCCTGGAGCTGTGACGCAGCAGTGCTAACCACTGAGCCACTAATTAGATAAACAGTGATTGAGGGTATAGTCCATCTAGTTAAGTAGTGATTTAGTACTGGTTAATATCAAATATGCTTTCAGATGTTCTAGCAATGTCAATTGGGAGGGGGGTTTTATGTAGTTGGATTATGATGTAATATATGGAAATGCTCATCTAGAATCATGGTTTGTCTGCCTGCTTGTGTGACACTGACCGCATAGAGCCATCGAAATTATAGAGTCCAGAAGGGGGCCGATCAGCCCATATTGTTATGCCGATCCAAAGACCTCCAGAAAAGACAACTACACCGTGGCCTAAATCTTTGTTTCGCCTATAGGCTGCTCTGCCTGTAAGCCTGACACAGTGTTGGCTGCAGTTTAGTGAATATGTAACTGAGTGTTGCAGCTTTAATTTGCTCAGTAAGAGTCATATGCCCTCACTATGAGGTGAAACAATGAGTGCAAGTTAATTATGCAGATAAATTTAACTTGGTGACTCTGGATTAAGAGGTTGACCCATCACTGCTGATTCTGGGTTTGAATCTAGCCCCAGTTTGGTGGGCTGCAAAACACCATTCTCTGTTCATTTTAATGTCATAGAGTGAAAGACCTGGGATGCTTCACTCTCATTTAGAGGGCAAAGTTTGAAGCTGCCTGCAAGTTGCTGCGTTGTTGATAAATTCCAAAGGATGCAAGGATAACAGGTGTGGGGAGTAAAATTCATTGCCAGTGACGAATGGCCTTCCAAGAGTATTATGTTTAGGGAAATTTGTGAGGCAAAATAGGAGGAGGTTTCATCCAAATTTAAACCATGCTTACCATACATGGGCATTCTTTTTCTCTGTCTTCCATGAAGTTTTGGCACACTACTTGGGGATAGTTCCATGTGAAGCCTCTCACCCTCTGGTATTTTTATACAAGTTGACGTTGTTCGGGTGATCATGTTTGGTGAATATTAGGTCTGTTTAACAGTGGAAACGTTTTGAATTACAGTCAATTGTAGCATCGCCAGACATATCCCTGCCAACATGAATTACTAACATCCGTCAGCCATAGGAGTCTTGTTGATTATGTTTCCACAATTAGATTAGAAATCCCCTGCTACGATCATGCCTTTTGCTCTTTATCTCGGTACAAATTGAAATCAAACCTGGAACTGTATTGCTCAGTTATTTCCTGGATAATCAGGGAGCAATCAATAGCAGTGATTTGTGCTGATATTGAGGATGTTTTCCAATCCCCTTCACTATATCTTTTTACTAAATGTGCAACCTGTCAAATGTATATACTTTCATAAATCATACATAGTAATATCATCAATTGTAGCAGTGCTGGACATCAGGATGCATAGGGACGGGCATGGAAATTTCACACTCAACAGTTTGCCTGAAGTATTTGAGCTATCTTTGACAATTCATGAGTTAGTCTAAAATGTTCCAGTTTGTATTGTTCTCTGAAAGAGAAGATGGCTCTTCACTTATTATCCAATGTGTTTGCAGTTTGGAATAAATGTCCAGACTTCTCTGAATCTGAGCTTGTCTAAGTATAGAATAAATATCAGCAAAGTGTAAGCACAAATCCTGTTCAAACATTCTTGAACAATTCAATCGGAGGTGTGGGTGAACTGTCTTGATGGTATCATATGGAAAAACTTGTCATTATTAAATGTTCAATGGGTAGCAACCTCATTAGTGAAAATGCCACAATCAACTACTGATCTAAGGTACAATGCTCAGAAATTGTAGGTGGCCCAAGTGAAACAGTGATGCTTTGTTGTCATATTAGGAACTGAATGTGGTCTGTTTAGGCGTTGATTTATTAATGCCTTGTTGAACTCACCAATTGTACCTGCCATCTTTAATGGCAGGAATTGAGGTTCCATTGACTGAAAAAAAAATCTAGATCATAACACAAGGAACACAGTTGAATTTCAGTAGATATGTGGTATTTATCGACAGTAATAAACAAACTTTTGTCCCAACTAGGAACTTGATGCAAATATGGATTTGCCTATAGATTAGCAGACTCAGGAATTTCAAGACTCTTCTAATTTGGGAAAACCTGATTGGATCAGTGGTAAGAAATGAAGAATACCCATACTTAACTGTCAGCACAAATCATCAAACATTTTCCATGTTACTATCCTGACCTTTTCAGAATCTTTACTACTTGTAGATAATATATACTCACTGCAGTTGAGTTCAATGAAAGGTCTATATGATCTGGTCCTAGTAAGTCTGTTTACTGTACTCCACTGCTTCTTCATCAATGATTGAATATTATGGGGAAAGGGCAGTGATTTAATTGGACAGACTTTTCAAAGACCTGGCACAGTCTTGGCCTCCTCTGCATCATTACAAAATTAAAATAAGATTTTGCACAGCTGAACCGTAGGAATATCGACAATGCTGGAAAAATATTCAGGAGTTTGCCAATTGACCTTCAACCGTCATGAAGACGTTTTATAGAAGTTTATCTCAAGATGTTGGACAGAGTATACACTGGAACAGATTATATGCATTTTGTGGGCTAATTGAGCTTGATGGGCTGAATTTATCCTCATTCTTGTATTTCTTTCTCTTTTAGATGTCCATTCTTTATCAAACAGGAAAGGGAGCTCCATGTTTGGGATGCAGAGGAATGTGCAAAGCATTTGAGCCACATCCTTGGAGGTAAGTGGCTCCTTTACTAATAGTAGCCTTTTATAGCACAGTTGGAGGCTATTCAAGTCTTGGTGCCTGTGCTTGTTGTCCTATTGATTGACAGTTTTACCCTACAGCCCAGAATTTATTTCAGTTTCAAGTCACCAAGAAATCTAACAAGGAATTCTCAGAAGAATCCTCTTTGCACAATGAGTGGTGCAAATGTGAATCTATCTTGACATATGTTTTAAGCAAATATTACAAATGCATTTAAGAGGAAACTCGATGAACAAATGAGGGAGAAGAGAATACCTGGTTACAGTGGTAGATTTAGATGAGGAGTAGTGGGAAGAGGTTTGAATGGAGCATAAATACTACTGTAGTCCAGTTGTAACAAATGGCCTGGTTCCATTCCATGTATCCTGTGTAATCCTATATGCTAATGCCCTTCTGAAAATTACTGTTGAATCTATTTTCCACAGCCTTTCAGGTAGTGAATTCCAGAAATTCCATGAAAGGATGCTTGTTTGAAAGAAGGGTCTCTGGACTCAAAACATTAATTCTGTTTTCTCTCCACAGATGCTGCCAGAACTGCTGAGTTTTTCCAGCAGTTTCTGTTTTTGTTTGTGTTTGATGCTTGTTTGAACATTGTTTCAGGAAATTATCTGCTACTTGTAAGTGAGTGCCTGTCGGAAACTTAGCAGCTTACCGGAAATCTATATGGCCTTTAGCGCCAAGAGGGAAGATACCTACTTAGCAATAATTCTAATTTTACAAAATGTAAATTTGCTTTTGTTTTATCCATAAATGGAACATGATTCTGTCACTCTGCTGTGAGTGTCTTGACTACAGCCATGGTGTGTGAAACTTCTTCCAGTCTGTTCCTACAGAGGTGCCACAAACTGTCAAACTCCATCTCAAATCATGAATACAGATATGAATTATTTTCATTGAATATATTAGAGCATTTTTGCCCAGTTCTTGTGGGATTCTTTCAAAGCACTGCACTGAGCTTATACAAAGTTGTTGCATTCCAAGAGAGAACCTAGCGTGTTTGATTTGTTCAATAATTCAACTCTAATGTTGCACTATTGAGACTTCATCGATCACATTTTAAATGATAATGGAAGAAGGCAGAGATAGTATAGGAAGAGTGGGTTTTAATGGCTGGAATTTGGATTGGGTGGGACGGTAAAATGTCACAAAGTTTTATACCCAAACTCCTGACTTCGTTTTTTTTTTACTAACGCCTCCAATGTGTTCCAATGAGGTGATATAATTATTTAAATATGTTGATGAGTATTTGTGTCACGGATTTGATTTCCATTATAAATTTTATGTCAACTGTCTGAATTCCCTGAGGTTTGTGAGCACCAGGAATTAAAGAACAGCATGAGCTTCTGGAACCTTCCATCATACTTTCCGACCACAAAGTCTGGAAGTGCTTTTCACGTGCCCACCAAAGTTGCCTATAACTCATTCCCATGAATGGGATGCAGCCTTGTCTCCTGCCAACATTCCCCACTGCACTCTTTGCCTACCTGGCCTGTTCTTTCCAACCCTCTCTTCCAGTTTTGTATTTAATGGCTGTGAACCCCTACTCACCCAATAAGCAATCAGCCTTGTCACTAGGAGGCAGTGACAAACATTTTACTTGTATCTTGCTGGTAGACTCCGCAGGATCTGTTTTTCCAGATTTCATGAATGCAGAAATGCACCTCTGTTGGAGCACATTGAAAGATCTGAGCGTTTTCTTAATTTGCCTTATCAATTGGTGAAGTGTACACAAAGTTTGTTCAGTATCTGCTGCCTATAGTTGAGTGTGTATTAATCTTAGTGCAAAGCCAACAGAGATGGTGATGAATTTGTGATTGAATTTTTAAAAAAACATTTCATTTAAGAAATTAAGGAATGAAGAAAATTGAGCAAAATTGAAGAACATTGGGAAATGGAAGATTTTGCTCACAATGTCAACAAACTCCTCGCTGGCTGTCACACATGACTTTCCCACTTTCTTGCCAATGTCCATATCACTCGGGCTGATAAGATTCCACTCCCTGTTTTAGTCAATAGCAAGTAAATAAATCTTGATGACCAGTACCAAACCAGCCAAAACCATTAAGATTTTGAGAAGGTGTAGAGCTGGATGAACACAGCAGGCCAAGCAGCATCAGAGGAGCAGGAAGACTGACATTTCGGGCCTAGACCCTTCTTCAGAAATGGGATTTCTTCAGAAATATCTCTGAAACAATTTTAACCCCACTGCGAAGCCCAGCTCTACACCTTGTTATCTCAGATTCTCCAGCGTCTGCAGTTCCTACTATCTCTGAAAAAATTTGAGAAGTTTTTTTTTAATTTTATGGGAGCATGATGGCTCAGTGGTTAGCATTGCTGCCTCACAGCGCCAGGGACCTGGGTTTGATTCCAAACTGTCAATATGAAGTTTGCACATTCTCCTTTGGATGCTCCCGTTTCCTCCCATAGTCCAAAGATGTGTAGGTTAGGTGGATTGGCCACGCTAAGTTTCCCATAGTGTTAGTGTCCAGGGATGTGCAGGCTAGATGAATTAGCTATGGGAAATAAATGGTTAAGGTAAGGGGTGGGTCTGTGAGGGATGCTCATCAGAGGGTCGGTATGGACACGATGGGGGAATGGCCTGCTTCCACACTACAGGGATTCTATGATTTTGCAAGTGAAGGTGTCAGATAATGGTCCATAGTTTACCTGAGAACTGTTTGAAATATTTCTAAGTGAAAATACCATATACCATGTGAAGCACTGCTCTGGGCATGATACCAAAATCAGGCATTGATTTTGAAGTTGGATTTGAAAAGAGTAAAAAGTGAAGTTTCACCAGACTAGTGTCATTGCTTGAAGGGTTAAGCAAACAGGTCAGCTTGCCTTGTATTCCACTTAGCTTTAAGGGATTTTTTTCCCCCTTTATTCATTAATGACATGAGGACATTGCTGGCTAGGCAGCGTTTATTGCCCATCCCTAATTGCCTAGAGGGCAATTCAGAGTTAACCACACTGCTGTGGGTCTGGAGTCACATGTAGTCCAGACCACGTAAGGATGGCAGTTTCCTTCCCTAATGGGGATCAGTGAACCAGGTGGGTTTTTCCTGACAATTGACAATGGATTCACGGTCATTGTTAGATTCTTAACTCCAGATATTTTTTGAATTCAAATTCTACCATCAGCCGTGGCAGGATTTGAACGTGGGTCCCTGGAATGTTAACCAGGTCTCTGGGTTAACAGTCCAGCGATAATACCACTAGGCCATTATCTCCCCTAGGGAGGTTGAGGCTGAGTTAATTGTAGACTTTAAAATTGTAAAAGGATTCAACAGCCTAGATACAGAATTGCATTTTCCTATGCTGAGAGTCCCCAGAATCCAGTGTCATAGTCTTAAAATATGGAGTTAAGCCATTTGGACTGAAATCAGGACACTCCTTTCCACAAAGCTTAATGGAATAATGCAATTCTCTCTGCAGTTGTTGCTGGGTCAGTTGTAAGCTTTGTCTTGAGATTGACACCTGTTTATTAGGTAAAGGTATGAAAAGGTAAATGGAGTTGTGATGTAGGCTAGCCATGAACTAACTGAATGGTGGAACTGGTTCAAGGAACTCAGTAGTCTACTCTGGTTCCTGTGTTATCCCCAAATGCTCATTTTTTAAAAAACCTTAGAATCCCTACTGTGTGGAAGCAGGCCATTCGGTCCATCGATGCTCCAAAGACCCACCCTCCTACCCTATCCCTGCATTCCCCATGGCTAACTCCCCCAGCCTGCACATCCCTGGACACTATGGGCAATTTAGCATGGCCAATTCACCTTGAGGAAACCCACACAGACAAGGGGAGAATGTGCAAACTCCACACAGACAATTGCCTGAGGCTGGAATCGCTCCCAGGTCCCTGGCGCTGTGAGGCAGCAGGACCAACCACTGAGCTACCGTGCCACTGAGCACCGTTCTAATTTCACATAAGTAGCTGGTGTGGGATCTAGACACGTACAGATACATATAGACATAGACCAACTTGCACGCATGGACTTCATATATTCTTGTAAATGCATAAAGTTATGTAATTACAGAGGAATTTTAAAATGTGACCTCTTCCTTTCTCAAGGAAAAGTTATTTCAGTGTTTTGAGTGTTAAATTCCCGAAGAGACGAGAGTCACATCCCAAAAATGTTGGTTCAATTGCATTGGGACTTTTAAATAGTCTGTAAATTCTCTACATCAATGCTGATTTTTTTTTCCCTGAGATGGATGATTTTGAACACTTAAAATATTGGTCTCTGAGGATCTTAATGACCTGTGTGGATGAAGGCTTGTTTACTTATATGGGAGACATCAGTCGGGGATTGAGAGAAAGAAATGTCAGACAGACAGGAATCTGTTTAGTTATGATACTTAGTAATTCAGACATTATATTAACGTAATTTCTCACTCCACGGTTGAGTCATGCTAGGTGGAGACTGGAACAGTCAATTAAAACACTTTGTGCTTAATTCTGTTGGGGGAAAATGATCGTCAAATTCTTCAAGTCACACACCATCCCAACTGCTCTTTCATTGTTGTCGGGTATAAATCCTGAAACTCCCTTCCTAATAGCACTGCGGGTCTATCTATATCACACAGATTCAAACAGCCAACTCACCAACACCTTCAGAAGGGCAGTTGAGGATGGGCAATAAGTGATGGCCTTACCAGCGACGGCCAAAGTCATGAACACTTTTTAAACATAACACTGTTTCATAAGCCCAAGATTTCAACTTTCAATGGCTGTAGGGTCCGCAGATGAGAGCCAAGCTATTTGTGACTTATCAGTGAGACTCAGGCACTTTTAAGTATGTCAGGCCCAACCTGTAGCCAATCTGGATGTCAAAGACACGGCCTCCCCACTTCCTGAACACTATCTGTCCCTATGTCATCTTTGTGCCCATACTGCACTGGTATGACAATTTTTAATTTCTCATCTTAGCTTTCCTAGTATCTGTCTTGAAACGAAATTACAAATTTGGTGCTGAGATAAAGCGAGTTTCTTTCTTGTTGTCTTCCTGCCAAGTTTGATTTTAAACTGACATTATCGAAACAGTCCAGCGCCAACACAATTATAGCTGAATAAAGATCAAAACAAATTCATATTTCAGCTTCAAACTTAACTTCGGAAACATGATTTAAAATGTATTTAGTTAGTTATTTAATGTAGGGTGAATGACCCATCAGACTGTTTGGATTTGATTTGCTACAGGGATTAAAGTGAAGATTTCTTCCTCTTTCCCTTCACTTTAATGCATGTATTTCATTCAGATGGACTGTGTTAAATTCCAGCAAGGATTTAAAGATCGTTAGAAATAACTGCAGGGTTAGACCATTTGGCCCATCTAGCCTGTTCCATCATTGAATAAAATCTTGGCTGATCTGATTTAGGCCTTCCTACTTTTATCTGCCTGCCTATGATAACCCTTAACTCCCTTGTCAGTCAAAAATCTGTCTTATTCAGCTTTGAACATACACAATGACCCAGTCTTCACTGCTCACTGATGAAGAGAAATCCAAAACTAATTGACCTCCAAGAGAAGAAATTCCTTTTCATCTCTGTTTAAAATGGGCAGCCCCTTATTTTTTAGATTGTCCCATAGTTCTAAATTCCCCCAGTAGAGGAAATATCTACTCAGTATCAATTGTGTCCAGTCTCCTTGGAATCTTTGATGTTCCAATAAAATTGACACTCAGTCTTTTAAATCCCAGTGAGTTTAGATCCGACCCGCTTAACCTTTCCACCTGAAACAACTTCTTCATCCCAAGAATGAGCCTAGTGAACTTCCAGTGCAACTCCATCTCTACTGAGGTAATAAGACCAGTTCTGTACACTATACAGTTGGTTCTGATATAACGCGTGTTTCTTCAATGTGAATTGGCTTTAACACGATTGAAGAATTTAGAACGCGAACTTTCCTTACCTGTATTGGCTATAACATGCTTCCAGCCCCATTAGTTTAAATGGTGTGGCTGTTGTGCGATTTTTCTTACAATACGAGATTGCATGAGAACAGAACTACCGATTTACGACAGAACCGACAGTATTCCAGAGGTGGTCTAATCAATGCTGCAAGATTTTCCTCCTTTGTTGGTCCTCTCTTATGTTTACACACTTGTCCCTTCTTCGTACACTGTGCTTATCATTACCCTCATCACTTCTCTTTATTGTTGCCTTGTTCTTTCCCTTGAACTTTTCAAGGCTCCCTTCATTGGTACCTTCCTCACTGCGTCCACACTCACTACTTTGTTGCAAACCTGCTGTACAGCCCAAGCTATATGATTTATCTGGTCCTAGCATGGTCAGGTGAAGGACAACCCAGTAGTACAGCTCCCTCTTTCCCCAGTATTGTGTCAGTGTCCCTCATGAATAGAAACCCATTTCTTCCACACCAGTCTATGAGTCATGTATTCAGCATTCTGATCCTAATTACTCCATGCCAACATCCTTGTGACTTGGGTAGTTATTCAGATTCTATTAGCCCTTCGCGTTCTGCTTTGTAATTTAGCCCTTAGCTGCTCAGGTCCCCTCAGGCAACCCGCTTTGTTTAGTCCCACCCATGTAACAAAATATCCATATGGGCCACAGCAAATGGAACACTTGCCCTTCCACTGCATGTTGCTCTCTTACTGTGAAGAAGTGGCTGTATCCCTGTCACCTGACAGGCAACACATCCTTCAGGATTAATGTTCTTGACTGCAGAGAAGAATGTCTAACCCCCAAACGTCACCATCCCCTTCTGCAACTGCATTTCTTTGTGCTGCCCCTTGCTTGATTGCCCTCTGTGCTGTAGTTGGTTTTCTCATCCACCCTACAGTCCCTGACTGAGCCCTCTTGTTCTCATATTGCTGTCTCATCTGAGGGCTATTAGGGTCTAATATAGTTCCAGAACCTGCCAAAACATTTCTCCCAAAATTTGTAATGCTCACCAACAGCACGCAGTGGCTAGAGTCCTTCATAGCAGGGATCAGGTAAGGGGAGATGGAACTGGTAATGGGAAGGTGTGTGAGGCTGATCTAGAAACAGATTGGAGGGAGGTGAGAAACAAGAGTTGCAGTTTCAGATGGGTGAGGAGTGAGGCACTAGGTGTGAGGAAGGGTGAGAGGAGAAACCATTGATTTGGATTTGGAAATGAGTGTAAAATGACACTGGAAAGTAACCAGTCCCTATCAGTAGTTCAGTAAGGAGGAGACAGTGCCACCAGTAGAGCCACCAGGCAAGTTAGAAGAGAGTTCTACCTTGAAGCGAGGAGAGAGAAGAAAACTGTCAATTCGACCATGGTGCTGAGGGTGATGATAGAAAAGGGCTCTCTATTTCTATTTTATAGCCTTCTCATTTTCTCATATCTGTGGATGCATCGAACAGCATACACATAACAGTCACGCAGAGGCACAATGCAAGTCTGTCCCTGTGTCGATACAATTGTTGCTGTCAGTTGTAACTTCAGATGTGTGCCCTATACAGAACACGTAACGTTGCAGTGCTTGAACTTTTTATTCTTGAGCCTAGGAGGTGTTAACAGACGAATGATACCATTTCATGCCTAATTAAAAAAGAGGGTTTTATCTGTCCTAAAGGCTCTTTCCTACAGCACAGTGGATAAAGCATGTGCCAATTCTTGTTTAACTTGTGACTCTGGATATCAAGAGGGACGGAAATATCTCATTGCTCATTTCAATTTGGCCTGAACTATGATTCACTCCCCAGATGTTACTAAGCTTATGTTCTTGGATGTTGTACCACCCAGTCCCATTAGATAGTGACTTGTTATACAGATGCTAAAGTACTTCTCTACAGCCTGTCTTTCAAAATGCAGACTGGGACTTCCACAAAGTACAGGTTTTTCATCAGATGTGCTAAGGCTCAAATAAACAATGATACTTTGAATTCTGGAACTTGACTGATTCCACCAGTTAATGGTCAATCCTGTACAGACAGACGAACTCTATCTAATGTTACTTTGCTTGCTTTTGATGCAGGAAGATATGCAAGTCATGCAAATGCAACCAAGAGGATCACAGCCTGCACTCTGATGCTGAGGACGATCGGAAAATCGGCCGCCTTTTGGCTGACTCTAACTATTCCAATCTGACTGCGCGGGTGAAGGGAGGAGATGGAGTCCGCATTTATAAGAGGAACCGAATGATTATTACCAATCCCAATGTAACAAAGAAAGATCCAACTTTTGACACAGTCACATATGAGTGGGCCCCACCAGGGCTGACCCAGAAACTGGTAAGCTGATTCACTCAGGAGAGCTGACATGTGTTTTCACAAGCTTGCCTTACTAAAAGTATTAGGACGCTATAATAATAGTCTCTTATGGGGAAGGAGGGTAAACAAAATACAAGAAAAGGGAATTATTTTTTAAGTGTGAAGCAACTAGCTAAATTTACGTTCAGAAAATCAGTGCATAATACCTGTGTTTTCTTTTACCTAAATCTGTATGCTATGGTTTTCAGACAAATCCCAAGTATTGTTTTGCAAGCCGGAAATGTTCAGAAACAGCAACTTGCATTTATATAGCACCTTTTAATAAACTGAAGCATTCACAGTGCTTCTTTTATTTTTTTATTCATTTACGGGCTGAGGGCATCTCTGGCTAGCATTTATTGTCCATCCCTAATTTCCCAGAGGGCAGTTATGAATTATCCACATTGCTGTGGGTTTGGAGTCACATGTAGGCCAGACCAGGTAAGGATGGCAGTTTCCTTCCCTAAAGGACCGTAGTGAGCCAGATGGGTTTTTTCCGACAATCAGCAATGGATTCACAGGAGTATTATAAAGCAAAGAATAATCTCAAAAACCCCAGAAGAGGATATTAGTTGATATGAGCAAAAGCTTGGCCAAAGAGGTAGCTTGGAGAAGTGTTGGCAGGATATTCCAGAGCTTGGTTTTAGGCAACAGAAGGCATAGCTGTTAGTGTTGAAGCTAATAAAGTTGGAGGTGTGCTGAAAGCTACCAATAGATGAGCATGGATACTTCGGAAGATTCTGGAGCTGGAGAAGAATACAGAGGAAGAGAAAATCTAGAATATGAAGAAGTTTTGCATTTATATAGTGACTTCCATAACCTCAGGAAATTTTATAGCTGATGAACTAGTGGTAACTGTTTTCAAATGGGAAGCAGGACAGACAATTTACACAAAGCAAGCATTACACATACAGCACAATAACAATGACAAAATAATCTGTTCCTATTGAATGAGGAATGTTGAGAATATATATAAGTATTGAGAGCATAACATGATAACTCTCCACTTCAAAATGGCATTGTGGGATATTTAATTCTGCCTGAGAACACAGGCACTTCCAACAGTGCAGCGACCCGTCAGTCACTACTAAAGTGGAGAGTCAGCTTTGCCTTGGAGTATGACTTGAACCCAAAACTCAGCTTGGTTCATAGTACTCTTGATGTTAAATTATTAAGATGAGGTGAGAGCAGGTATTTAAATGCAGGGATTCAACTGTGTGTGAACAAATGTTCTCAGAACCAAGCGTGGTTGTACCTGAATATTGAAGAGTATGTATCGTGGACACATCCAAACCAAATGGGCTCCAAGTTCCTTTCCTAGACTCAGCCACTTGTAGTTCATCCAGAGTATGTTAACTGACCCAGAAACCTTGGCCCAGAAAGGGGAAAATCAGGCGTGGGTCCCACAGTTCTTTACTGTAGATGCTTGGGTAAGCACAGGTTTGGGTTGAGCTGCTTGTCCATTGCTAGCTCATCTGCAATCATTCTATAGCTTATGTATGGAGAACAAATTAGTTTAATGAATCGTTAAGTCAGGGATGGCCCTACATTTGAAGCTGAAAGATGCAGCCAAGAAGGGGATAGCTGCAAAGTTTGGGAGAAGGAGGCTGGAAAGGGAGGAGAACACTTGTTAACAGCTAAAAACTGAGCTATGTAAATTACTTGACATCACAGGTGTAATTAATTATTTGCAATTGAATGTTGAAACTTAAATTTAAGGCTGCATATGTTTTGGAGAAAATGCACTGGATGCTATAGTAATGAACACGGTGTGTCAACTTTCCTGCTCCTCTGATGCTGTTTGACCTGCTGTCTTCCTCCAGCTCCATACTGTGTTGTCTCTGATTCCAGCATCTGCAGCTCTTGCTATCTCATGGTGTGTCAGTTGTTCAGTTTAAATCTAAGATTTTGATCTGTGATGCAACAAGAAGGGCAACAACTTTGTTAACCTTTCTAGAGTAACTGAGAACAGGATGGTTTTGGTATGTGTGTGTGCTACACACACAAATACAAATACAAACACACACATACACAAACACACACAGATAAAATTGCAGAAGCCCACAATTATTACTGTGCAGAAGGAGGCCATTTGGCCCATCGTGCCTGCACCAGCTCAACTATCTAGTGCCAATCTTCTGACTTCTCCCCATATCCATGCACACCATTACTATACATATGGTTGCATCACCTTGTGACTGCTGTCAAGATATATTTCTTTTTCATAAAAAACTAATTTGACATGGATGATATGGAACTGAGCATTAACTCTGCTGGGATGCACATAAAATGAGGCTTTTTTTT